GAGTCTTTCTTCTATCTCTTGTAATCCGTTGGTAGTACTTGTCTCTGTAGTTCCTGTTCATTTACCCAGATTTTCCATCTCCATCCTTCCCTCGGTTTGTGTTTTCTTCATTACTTCCATTTCATTCTTCAAGTCTTAAACCGTTTCTCTTACCTGTTTGATTGCTTTTTCTTGTTTCTCTTGGTTTTCTTGGGTATCTTTGAGAGATTTATTCATTTCCTCTACCTTTTTGTTTGTAATTTCTAATTGTTTATGGCAGTTTTTCACCTCTTGTTTAAGGTCCTCTATTATTTTCATATAATTCACCTTTGAGTCGATTTCTTCTAATTCTTCTGGAGTAGGGTGTACAATTCTTCTTATTTCGGGATCCCTGGATTCTGGTGATGTCATGTTGCCTTTCAGTTTGTTGGAGGAATTCTTGCATTGGCGCCTGCCCATCTCCTCCTTCAAATGGAGCCAGGAGAGGCCTGGTGTCTTGGTCCAATCTTTGCTGTGACTGACTCTCTGGGTGTATTTCTTCAGTGTAGAAGCAGGAACCGTTCCCGTCCAGATGCGACTCCTCAGCACCGAAACATGGACACCTGGTAGTCCAATGACCCGCGGACAAAAGGACGAACTTGGGGGGCAGGGCGGGGTCAAGAAGAGCACAGGAGACCCTGCAGCGCATGCTGAGGGTGCCCGTGCTCCCTTGCGGGGGACCTTGAGGCCTGCCCAATAGGCAGGCACTCACCGCTCTGGGTGGGTAGCCTTAGTGTAGGAGTGGAAAACTGTTCTTGAGCAAAGGACCTAGCAGACAGCAGGGCCAAAGCTTCATATTTTGATTATAATAATTAATTTCCTCTCACCCAACTCTATATTCTCTCCAACTGTTTCAAACCACACCAGATCATGGCATCCAGTTTATGTTGAGTAGCTATTCCTGGGTGTGACGCCTGCTCTTGAGTGTAATTGACAAACCTTTGTCACTCCATTGAAGAAAACTGACTTTCCCTCTCTCGGGAGTTGTAAGTTGACAATATTTTCTTGGATAGGGGTGGGATACTGAGCTCCTATATACTAGGATTTTCTCTGGTTTGAGCTTAGGCACTTCATGTGAATTCTGTCATGGTCTCTGTGAGTTCATATGTACATTTGCCATGCTGTGTCTGGAAAATGCTGTTTCCTTGAAGTCATCCACTACCTCTGGCTCTTACAAACTTTCTGACTTCTATTCTACATAGATCCCAGAGCCTTGAGGAGAGGAGTATGATATAGACATCATGGTCAGAACTGAGCATTCCAAAGTCTCTTTATTTTGACAAGTTGTAGGGGTTTTTGCAAACACTATCTACTACAAGAAGTTTTACTGATAAGGGCTAAGTGATGCCCAATTCTATGGAAATAGCAGTATGTCATTAGGCATTTTTTTGCTGTATTAATTTAATAGATAGTAGTAGGTATTCTCCTAGGACTCATGGTTTATCTAGTCTCGGGTTCTTGATCTCATTGAACTCAGTGTTGGATATGCATTCCATCTCATAGAATGGTCCTGAAATATCACTTAATAAGTGTTTGGCTATTCCCATAACATTTCTGCCACAATTGCACCAATGGGCATAGCTTTCAGGCAGATCATTATTGTTACTTACATGGTTCACACTTGGATGACACTGTAAATTACTTTTCTCACCCAATATAGTGTATGGCACCTTCAAGCACTGTGAACACTACAAGATAAAATGATATTTTCATATATATCTAGAGGGAAGATAGAAATCTGAACCAAGAAGAACCAGAAATAAAACACTTTTTATACATATAATTAAAAGTTGTATTCTTTGAGATTTTCTTACACGTATACAATGTAATTTGTTCATGTACATCCCCTAGTTTCATGATCAAATTTCTTTGAATGCCCTCCCAAATCCCCCTCCCAATGTCATATCTTCTTTTCACTTATAAACAACTGAGTCTAATTAGTGTTGCCCATATGTTCATAGTATGAGGTCATTCACTGGAGTAGATGCAAATATCTAGGGCTATATCTCTGAAAAAAATGGCTTTTCCTTCTCTAGTAACCATAAACTCTCATGAGCTCCTCAGCTATGTGGTTAGGACTGAAGAGCCCCTCCACATCCATTATGGAAAGATGACTGGCTGATCTTGTGTGGGTCTTGTGCAGGTAACCAGAACTTTTGTGGCTCCATGAGTGCAATTGTCCTCTCTGGTCCAGAAGACACCAAAAACTACCTGCTTTTGGCTTCATAAACAATGGAGTTCGATCTAGTTGAGATCTAGTCTTATTAGTAGAGGTGAGTGTAACCCTTGTTGACTTTTCCTATTGCTTGGAAATATATCCATTCATCTGCCATTACTTGTGTGTATGTTGTATGTTTGTGTATATATTTATGTGTTCACATATGTGTGTCCATGTGTGTAAGCCAGAAGGTGATGTGCTGACATCTTCCTCAATTGTTCTTTACTTTATTATTAGCATTTTAAATTGCATTTTAGTGTGTGTGTGCACACATGCATATGTATCATGGTGCCTGTGTAGAAGTCATAAGACAACTTGAAGGAGTTGGTTCTCTTCTTCTACCATGTGGTGTCTAGGGACTGAACCCTGGTTGTAAGTCTGCTACCCACTGAGTCATCTTGTTGGACTTCCACTTTACCTCTTGAGATGGGTGTCTCTCAGTGTCTTGAAGCTCATTTCTTGGGCAAGATCATCTGTCCATTAAGCTCCATGGATGGCCCTATCTTTGCCTCTCTATCACTACATCTTGTCTTTGAGCGTGTGTGTACTTTCTGTTACAGGAAGGAATTCTGAGCTCCTCTTGGATTTTCACAACCTCAGACTCTGTCATTTCTCCAAAGAACCAGAAACATAGTCAACATAAACCAGGAGTTGGGATATAGTACTGCTCATGCCAGCTAGAATATTACTGTTTCCTAACTCTTTCAGAGACGTGGGAGCATCTTCTCATCCCTTCTCTATCATTTTTATCTACCACCTATTTAGAGAAATAAGATTCTATCACAAAACACCCTACTCTACACTGCCTACCTACAAAGACTCTTTTTTGCTCTGAACATGTCTCATTTTACCAAGACTGAGAAACTTGGCTTTCATTATTCAAGATATTCTTTGTAAATTGGTCAGTTTAATTTTTGCTGTGGTTTTGAGACAGGATTTCTCTGTTGTCCCAGAACTCACTTAGTAGAATTGAATGGCCTTGAACTCACAGAGATCTGCCTGTTTCTGCCCCCCAAGTCTTAGGATTTAAGGCAAGTACAACCATACCTGGCTAGGTCAATTCATGTTTTACTGTCATGTAATCATTATACATAGCACCTAGTAATATTTTCATTCAAGCATATAATGTCCTTTGATCATAATTCCTGCCATATCCTCCTTTCTTCTCCCTCTTATTCATTTTCCTAGACACTTCATATTCTACTCTTAGGATCAATTCATTTTTAGAAATTTACTTTGTGTCTGGCCAGGCAAGCAGATCAGCCATCATCCAGAGAAGCTTCATCCTGCAGCAGATGGGAACAAATACAGGGACCCACAGCCAAACATTATGCAAACCTTGGAACACTGATCCCTAAATGAAATGTCTCCACCAAATCCCTCCTTTCAGGACTCAGGGAATCCTGTGAATGAGGAGGTAGAAAGAATATAAGAGCCAGAAGATATGGAGCATGCCCAGAAAATAAGGTCCTCTACTAATGCAGGTATGAACTCACAGAGACTGAGGAACTGGGAGGAGTAGTAGGAAAAGAAAAATAAGAAGGATATATTATATGAAAAAAATTATTTTCAATTGAAAAAAATTTCTCCCCCAGTAAACAAATGCTCATCCCTTCAAAAAATCATTTTATTTAAATTTGTGTGCTTGTGTATGTGTGTTCCTATATGGTCCTGTGCATGTGTGAACTGGTGCCTGCAGAGGCTAGAAGAAACATCAGATACTCTAGCACTGAAGTCACCAGTGGGTTCTCTACTCACTGAAGCACAAGCTTCTTGTTAAGGACACGCCTCAGTGGAGGCTTTATAGCTGGCTTGGACTCACACCCAGCCAGGCTGCCTTCCATGTAGACCTCTACCCCAAACCACTGGGTCTCATTTGGAGTCAGCAGTAGCCTCCTTCATGAGCCCCACACAATGGTTTTAGAGTAAATGACCCAGAAAGAGAATGGAAGGTTGGACACTAAAGCGGAAGAATCCAGTGAGGCTTCTGATACTAGATAAGATGGAACAATCTTTGTTGCCCAATCCATTGATCAGCCAGAAATTGTTATTTATGTTCACTGTTATAGGACAGAGAGGAGATAAAGATTGGTTCTGTCTTGATGTTAGTATGATAAGCACCCTGAGAAAAGCACGATAAGGGGAAAGGAGTTTACTCTGGCTCACAGTTCTAGTGGAGAGTAGGTCATCAAAGGGAAGTCAGGGACAGGAGCTAGAAGACAGGTCATGTGCTCCATAATCAGGAAGCAGATGGCAATGAGTGCATGATGTTCAGCTCCCTTTCTCTACTTATATAATCCTGGACACCATAGGGCACCACCTATAGCAGGTAGGGCTTCACACCTTAGCCAACTCAATCAAACAACCGTCACCCACAGGCATGCCTGGAGGTTCTTATCCATCCTAGGTGATTCCAGTGTCTCTGAAGTTGATAATAGCAAAAACCACGCATTCCAAAGAAGACTGAGGAAACAGACTATCAGAGAAGTGAGAGGAGATGTAGATTATAAAATAGATCAAGCCTAAAAAAGAATATTAACATTTCACTTGAGTTATATTAAAAATCCTTCAAGGACTACCGAATTGGACTATGCGCAAATTTCTCAAGCAATGTGCCATTTCAAAATGGGTCAGTGTCACCAATCTTAAGAGTCAAGTGTGGATCCCCTATTGGCTCAAACAATAAGTGACCATGCTTATTGGAAAGGATTAGCATCTTGTTTTGTTGATTTAGTGTTTTCCCATTAATGTGTATAACACCATATATTTTTGAAAGAGATTTTTATTTATATTTTCAATAACATAAAATTTTACAAAAAACAATTTGATATACTTTTACTAACAGTCAACATGATAGTTCCTATTTTCATTAAAAATTATTGATAGAACTTTAGAGAAACAGTTACTACATTTAGAGTTCAGAATGGAAATAACCAGTTGCAATCAGTGTAGATGATCCCAAGAGAATCAGAAAATGAATCTCCATACCTATTAATCACTTAATTATTTATGTTGAATCACACAATAGATGATACTCTGTATAGACACTGAGCATGTTCAATGAATTATTGAACACTCAATCATTGTATGGTATATTAACTTTGCTAGTGTTCTGTGGCACAGCCCTCCTGAAGAATATAACATGGTTCCTGAGGGAAATTCATGCTCCAGTTATGGGTTTTTCTCTTGATACAACCTTCAGGATGATGGGTTTTTCTGGTTGGAGAATTGGTTGATTGCTCAACTTTGGCGGTATCTGTAGTAGTTCAACAATCACAGTGAGAAGCAATGGGTGACACACCAGCAATGATAGAAGCAAAGAGTACAGATACATTAAGGAACATGCTTTATATACCTAAAAACACTATGTATCAGTATCCTATATCCTGAGTCTCTTATACCTAAATATTCACTGAGACTGGATGGGAAAAGCACTTATCTATCTTCTTAATCAGGTAAGTATTAGCTGAGCACCTATTGTGTGTACAGAGCCAGGGAACAAGTTAAGTTGGTTTGTGTTATTTAGTGATTTAAATTTTAAGTCAAAAGGCCCAGTTAAAAGTTTAGATTATTCCATAAACATATGGAAATGAATTTTGAAAGCAGTATAAAGTTAATTTTGCTTTCATTGAAGTATAAGGTAATCCTGAGCACATATCACAATTTGGTCCCTATGAAGTGACTCAGTTATCAAAGTGCCTGGACACCAGGTTGGCACATTCTATTTGATGGTGGACAAGGACTCCAGAAAGCATCGATCCTTGTCCTCTTAGCTTCTAAGGGTAATTTGAAAGGTAACCTTGAGTAATTCAATGTTTTCATATAATCATTTGCCTCAGTTTCTTCAGTCTTGAGGGGATGAGGAAGCCTATAACATAGCTGTTTGGTCTTAGTTCAGGAAAGGAAAGAAAACTGTCATCAGAGAAGGGTGTCAAACTGTGGTTGACTGGAGCTTGTCTGCTGTCCCAGATCCTTGTTTGCTTTCATGACAAATGCTCTGTCCATCTATTCATCTAAATAACCCCCTGCACACATTTACAGGACAGCTACATTGCAACTGTAGGCCGCTTATATCCTCCTCAGCTCCCATGAAGAAAGGCAATGGAACAGGAAAGCACTGCATACTTCATGCATGTGTGTTAGAACATAATTATCAGGCAGTGATTTACATAGCATGTTCATAGTCTTAGTCACCATTGTCTTCCCATGAAGAGTCACCATGACCATGACAGCTTTGATAAAAGAAAGGATTTAATTGGGGACTTGCATACGATTTCAGAAGCTTGGTCCATTATCATCAGGGTGGGGAACATGGCAGCAAGCATGGCAGATATAGTACTGGAAAAGGAGCTGAGAACTACATCTTGATCCACAAGCAGAGAGACTAGCAGCGTTGGACCTAGTGTGGGCTTTGAAATCCTCAAAAGCCATCCTCAGTGACACACATATCCTGTGTCACATCAGTGACTTTCAACTTTGGTTGTGAAGGAGACTTACCTGTATGTTTAACAGCCACACTCTGGGTAAATCATTTCAACATATCTGATATGACCAGACATTGTGAATGTTTAAGGCTCTTTAGCAGCTCTAAAGCACAGCCAGTGATTGGGAGCCCCCGACACCTGGAAACTTCTCTTAAGTCCTAGTGATGCCCACCAGTCACACATCATGATCAGGTCTTTATTACATGCTGTATGTACAATATCTCTCCATCTCCAGTTAATTTGAACTCAATTTCAAGGAGATTTCATTCAGTCATCTTCCACTAATCTGCACTAACTCTAAATGAATTCCTTATTTGTGTTTTATTCAGATTCAGTTCAGTATGAAAGGATTCATATCAGACAATAAATACATTCTTTGTTACATACATTATTAAAATATCAGTGAGCAGTGTGGTGGTTTGCATGAGAATGGCCCGCACAGGTGTATGTTTGAATACTTGGCCCCCCAGTTGCTTGGGAAGGATTAGAAAGAGTGGCCTTGTTGTAGGAGGTGTGTCACTGGGGGTGGGCTTTGAGGTTCTAGGAGACTAGTGTCATTCATTTACAGTCTCCTCTCTCTCTCTCTCTCTCTCTGTGAACTCTCAGTTGTACCTTCTGCCATACCTTCACTCTGCCACCATAAACCTTAATCCTCTGGAACTATAAGCTAATTTAGGCACCTTTTAAGACACAAATTGTCTTAGTCATGGTGTTTTATCACAGCAACAGAAAAGTAACCAAGACAAGCAATTTATTTGTGTATGTAACACTGTAAGTCTTTTAAATATAAGTTATTCAGAGTTTTCTGCCTCACCTGAGTTTCTTCACAAGGCTGGAGGGTGAAGTTCTGCAGGACACTGATGACAGCCAGTTTCATGCTGATGAGGGCAAACCTCATGCCAAGGCAGTTTCTGGGTCCATTTCCAAATGGCATGTATACATAAGGATCAATGCTGCCCTTGTTCTCCTTGCTGAACCTGAAGACACAGTAGGGATGAAAACAAGGCTATGGAACATTGATCCAAAGAGCTCTGTTTGGAGTCCTCACACCCTCAACCAGAGTGGTTCAGCGAACATTTATGGACTTGCAACAGAACCCTTGCTGCAGGTGTCTGACAAAGGAATTGTGAGCTAAAGGCCCTTCCCTTTCACCCCAAACAGGTATTTTCTATGTTGTTAAGACAAGTGGAAATGAATGCTTTTTGAAAGAAAACACATCCTTAAACACAAAATATTCCTTTCCAGATGGTGAAGTGTTCTATTCTGAAAGACATATTGGGATTGGCCAAACTGATGGCAAAGTAGTCTCCTGCCTCACACTTAGGAATGGGGAGATAAACACTCTCTGTTAGTATTGGAAATGTTAATTTCCCCTCCCCCATTATTTCCCTTTCCTTTCATTACTTTCCTTTCTTTGTAGCTTCCCCCATTTGTATTTTCCTTGTCCACTTCTTCCTCAGAATTGTTTTTGCTTTCCCTACTTCCCTCCACAGAATGGCTAAAGCCAATTACCTTTCTGGTGCACAGGATGAGTTTCTACTGTAGCATCATGAATGACATCCAAGTCTACCTTCTCCACTAAGATAAAAATATCTACTAAACATGTAGCCCTGAATTTATTGAAATTTGACTTTTCATTATTTGATTATTTAAGTGAAAAGAAATTATTGTGAAAAAGTGACAAGAACAAGAATAATCGGTGTTTTAAAAACTGTTTTGTTAATTTGTAGGGGGAAAAGAGAGGTATTTACATATAAATGCTATGAAATAACAGGAGAGTGTGGACAAATTAGGTTGTTTGTGGACAGAGAGTTCACATAGGTAACCACAAGAAGTGTATTATAGTAATTGTATGGGACTTGGGAGGTAGCTTACGTAGTAAGGTGCTTGTCCAGTAAGTGTGAGAGTCTGGGTTTGTTTCCCAGAACCTACACAGAAAGCTGGGCATGGTGGGGTGTGCCTCTAATCCTAGCAGTGGCAAGATAGGAGGTGGAGATGATCAGATCCCTGGAATGTGCTATCCAACTGCACACACATTTCACACACACACACACACACACACACACACACACACAAGTACTATAATTCCAAAAGGATTCATAGATGTAAAGGGGTACAAAATCACATATATATGCTTTTCTTTAAGAGGAATTATGGTGGTTTGAATAATAATGGCCCGTATTAAAAAAAAAAAAACACCAATGATAGCCTTTGTTGGAGAGGTTGTGAAGAAAGGGGTACACTCATCCATTGCTGATGGGAATGCAAACTTGTGCAACCACTTTGGAAAGCAGTCTTTGGAAAGCAGTGTGGTGGTTTCTCAGGAAATTCGGGATCAACTTACCCCTGGACCCAGCAATACCACTCTTGGGAATATACCCAAGAGAGAGGCCTTATCATACAACAAAAGTATATGCTCTACGATGTTCATAGCAGCATTGTTTGTGATAGCCAGAACCTGGAAACAACCTAGATGCCCTTCAATGGAAGAATGGATGAAGAAAGTATGGAATATATACATATTAGAGTACTACTCAGCAGTAAAAAACAAGGGCTTCTTGAATTTTGCATGCAAATGGATGGAAATAGAAAACACTATCCTGAGTGAGGTAAGCCAGACCCAAAAAGAGGAACATGGGATGTACTCACTCATATTTGGTTTCTAGCCATAAACCAAGGACATTGAGCCTATAATTAGTGATCCTAGAGAAGCTAAATAAAAAGGTGAACCCAAAGAAAAACATATAGGCATCCTCCTGAATATTAACCTTCATCAGGCAATGAAAGGAGACAGAGACAGAGACCCACATTGGAGCACTGGACATAAATCTCAAGGTCCAAATCAGGAGCAGAAGGAGAGAGAGCACGAGCAAGGAACTCAGGACTGTGAGGGGTGCACCCACACACTGAGACAATGGGGATGTTCTACTGGGAACTCACCAAGGCCAGCTGGCCTGGGTCTGGAAAAGCCTGGGATTAAACCGGACTCTCTGAACATAGCGGACAATGAGGACTACTGAGAACTCAAGAACAATGGCACTGGGTTTTTGATCCTACTGCACACACTGGCTTTGTGGGAGCCTAGGCAGTTTGGATGCTCAACTTGCTAGACCTGGATGGAGGTGGGGGTTCCTTGGACTTCCCACAGGACAGGGAACCCTGATTGCTTTTTGGGCTGAGGGGGGGGGGGACTTAATTGGGGGAGGGGGAGGGAAATGGGAGGCGGTGGCGGGGAAGAGACAGAAATCTTTAATAAATAAATAAATTTAAAAAAAAGAGTTTGCGCATTCGAAGCAATCACTCTGCTGACTGAACCCATCATCATTAACCTGAGTACACATTAATTAAGGGACCAGGGGAGAAATGCACGATCCTCAGGAATGGGGTGTGGGTGTGAGAAGGCTAGTTCCTAATCTCCTCATGTTTATCTAAATATGCTCTTTCTAGTCTCCCGTGTCCTGGATCCCGGAAGGTAGGTGTTGTGGGACTCTCAGTGGCTGAAACAGGAAGCCTCACAGACAGTAAGGAAAGACAGTTCAGATGTCAGGGACAATATTCTGGGTTATATGTGGTTGACACACAACTGTGAGATCACCACTTGGAAGGTAGACACAGAAAGGTCAAAAGTTCAAGTTAATCTTCAGCTGTGTTTGTTTGGGGTCAGCCGGGTTTAAACATGACCTTGAAACAGTGAAAACTAACCCAATCTGCAGTGCATTGTCTGCAAACACAGCACAAGAGAATGTGGGAACCAACCCCTCCAGAAAGGGTATTCTTCACATCTGTGGACTGGAGTCAGAAAGATGTGGTTTGGAATTGCATATTCTGTATTTATAATCTTCTTCTATGGAGCCTTAGTGTATCTAAATGAAATGAATGGTCATGAAAATAAAACCACTGACTACATAGCAAAAAATAAAAAAATAAAAAAATAATGGCCCGTATACATTTGAATGCTTAGTCACTAAGGAATGGCACTATTTGAAAGGATTAGAAGGATTATTAGGTGTGGCCTTGTTGGAAGAATAGTGTCACTGGAAGTAGCTTTGAGATTTCAAAAGCTCATGCCAAGTCCAGGGTCTCTCTCTTCTTACAGAGTCTCTGTACCTTTCAGGGCAGAACTCCTCAGGCTCTGGCCAGTACTCAGGATCCCGATGAAGAAGATAGATTGGCATCATAACTACAGTCCCTTTGGGAATGAACACTCCATTGATTTCCACATCCTTCTTTGAGACCCTCTCTAGCCTGTTAGAAATAGGGTACAATCTGAGAGTTTCATTCACTACCATATCCAGGTACTCCATGTCCATCAGGGCATCATAGGTGACAGGTGCCTGGGAAGAGGAAACATGTTTGCAGATGAGGTTTGGAGTCATGTCATCTCAAATATATTAGAATCTCAAAGGACTAACCTCGATTAGTAAAGCTTATCCTTAATCATTCTACTCTGATGATGACCTTCATCCTGATTATGGCCCATTAGGATGTGAAGTATAATTTTTAGCACAGGAGCCATTTGGGGCACTCCTCCATCCAGATCCCCTCATTGTCATGCACTGATTTCTTTACCATGTGAGCATATATAACCAACATCTTATGACAGTTACACTCAGACATCTCCATTGATCATCAGTCTATACCAAAGAAATATGTCATGGCAAGGAACAAACTCCTCACTCCTGGTCCAATGAGGCTAAAATTGACAATGCCACATCTTGGTAGCCCCTTTGATTATGGGATTAGTTCAGTGAAAGGTACCATAAAGGATTCTGGGTAAGATGACATACTTAGAAGCTGCTTCTGTGTGAGTTGGTTATAGAGAAGATTTTGAAGGAGAAAAAAATATGTATCTTTTCTAGAGAAAGAAAGAGAAGAACTTCTGCAACATACGAAGGAAGTGGCAAGACAGTTGAAAAGTATGAGGGAAAAATTGTTTAACTTATGGGAAAGAAGCCAAGCTGAAGTTGGCTCCAGCTGCCCTGTGCCCTAACATAGGGAGGAAAGTAAGTCAGGGATACTCCAAAAGTTAAAGCAGGCATTCTGATGGAAAGAAACTGGGGCCCTATCTACAAGAGAATCTCCTAACCCTCACAAGCCTAAAATCCAGTTTGGATTTGGGTGAGATAACAATTGTTTCAATGACACATTGAGAGTCCCATGGTCATTCAGTATGACTCAGAGAACTTATTGTTGCAAAATAACCAGTCACTGGGGCCAGCCAATGGAGCACAACCACAGGACATTTATTCTTTAGGTGCTTCTAGGCTATATATAGGTGACAGTTAATACTATCTGGAACACACGCGCGCGCACACACACACACACACACACACACACACACACACACACCCTTAGTATATATCTAGAAGTCTCTAAACCAGCACAGTACAGAGATACTAGCGAACAGATGTTTATTGTTGCACTCTTCACAGTAGCTAAGAAAAGGAACCAAACATGATGTCCAGCTACAGGTGAATGAGGAAAGCAAATGTGGTACTTATGCAAAACAACGTTTTTCAACCACAGAGATGAATGACACCATAAAATTTGCTGGAAACAGGTACAAGTCGAGATCTTTAGGTTAAGCAAGACAAACCAGACTCAGAAAGAGTGCGGACAGAGGGAGGGAGGGATATGTGAAATGAAGGCAGCTCTGCATACTCTTTAAGGGAAGGAAGAAGCCTGATAGAGACATCAGGGAGAATGAGGGAGGGCAAAATGGAAGACGGATGGACATGAATCAATTTTAATGGCATGGATATAAAAATGCCAGAGTGAAACACATTGCTTTGTGTGCTAACTTTTTAAAAGGAATACATTTTAAAATGTTTAAAGCATCTTCCAGTGGGGACCAAAAGTCACACTCATTACCATCCTTGGTAACTGGATCAATGGATCAGTTGTTGCTTCAGGACTTGAGAGTGGGCCCTGGAGGAGATGCATTCTGCACTACTCTGCTCAAATAGGCACACAGGACCTGGGTAGCTTCACACTACCAAACCTTGCAGTTTGAGCAAAGAGATGAAGACAGTATGGGCATTATGGCTGTCATCTAGTGTGACATTCAAAAGACTATCCTGTAGATATTTAGAGTTTGGTTTAGGCTGCTAGTGATATGGATTAGGTGGTAAAGGAATTTGCTGACAAGTCTGATGGCCTGAACTGAAACTCCAGAGATCAAATAGTGAAAAGAGAGAGATGACTCTTGCAAGTTATTCTCTGACCTCCATACATGTGCTATGGTATGGACACTTATTCTCTCTCTCTCTCTCTCTCTCTCTCTCTCTCTCTCTCTCTCTCTCACACACACACACACACACACACACACACACACACACACGCTCACACACAGAATGTGAATAATCAAAATAATTCATTGATAATATTTTTACTTAGGAGCTAGAGACACAAACTCATCATTGGCTCCTTCACCTCTAACTGCACCACTGAGTGTATTCCCATACAGCTGATGCTAGAACATTAGCTATCTGTGAGGGTTTGACTTGGAGACTTCCAAGAGGGTGAGAGAACCTGTCCAGCACACTGGCTGTAATACAAGCAAGGGTCTATTAAAGTGACTCGAGTTAGCACTCAAGGCTTCAGAGAAGAAGTAGTCTGATACACTATCAAAACCACAGAAAAGGAAAGAATCCCCTAGTTGGCCCACACACCCACATATATAAATGCCATGCTATTGGACTGGACAACAGAGCCATTGAGAGTAGTGTCAGGCAAACCTGCACAGACCAGTGAAGGTCAGCCTACTAACAGACATAGCAGGGAGAGCACCCCAAGGACATCAGCAGAAATAATTGTTCAGACACTTTGCTTCTTCTCAAGTGTCACACAGGTTTTCCTTGTGTCTCTTAGTATTATTGTCATAATAGATAAAGATATATCAGAGCCAGTACTGTATTAAAGATTGCATATTTCTATGGGTTGCATTCATCTCCTTTGTCCCTCCCTTTGTTTCTCTTAGTCTCTTGTTGGGTTATAGAACTATTGCATGGCCCTCCATAAAAATTCTCATTGCATGTGCTTGTTAGTCCTTTACCTCTGCCCTCCCTCTCTGGGTACCATCCACTCACCTTATTAGGCAGAGCTCTGTCAATCTCATCCTGAAGTTTCTTCTGCACATCAGGGTGGGTGGCCAGCTCATACATGATGAAGGAAATGGATGTGCTTGTGGCATCATAGCCCGCAAAAATGAAAACAACAGTTTGTGCTACCATTTCTAGATCAGAAAGAGCTAAAAGGAAAAAAAAACATTGCAGATAAGGAAGATCAAAGCAGAACATCATAGTTGAGATGAGAAGAAATTCAAATGGCACTCCTCATTGTCTGGGGAAGAACAGAGAAAAGCAGAACAGGGTCATTGGTGCTGAGTTCCGCTCAGATGTCTTTCTGATATACCAGGGAAAGGTCAAATTATTTTTAAATATATTTTTATGGTTATGGGTGTTTTATCTGTACATATGCCTGTGTACCACACGCATCCCTGGTGTCTGTGGAGGCAAGGAGAGGGCACCAGATACCTTGCGACTGGAATTACAGGTGACTTTGAGCTGCTATGTAGGTGTTATGAACTGAATCTAGGTCTGCTGAAAGAACAGACAGTGCTCTTAACTGATGAGCTGTCTCTCCAGTCCCAAGGTCAAATTATTTTAATTCAGGTTGAGCTAAGATCTATATTATGAAATATTAGGCCAAGGGGGCTGGAGAGATGGTTCAGTCGTTAAGAGCATTACTTGCTCTTCCAAAGGTCCTGAGTTCAGTCCCCAGCAACCATATGGTGGCACACAACCATCTTTAATGAGGTCTGGTGCCCTCTTCTGGCCTGTAGACATACATGCAGACAGAATATTGTATAAATAATAGAAAGATAGATAGATAGATAGATAGATATTTTTTAAAAAAGGAAAAAAATAAATATTAGGTCAAATTCATATCATCACAACTGGGCAATTTCGAGAGAAATAATTCTCTCTAACGTATACTATTATCATAGTGTGGAATGAAAACAAAAGTATTGCGGTACTTGACAGTGACTGACAACTTGACAAGATCTAGAATCACCTAGAAGACAAGCTTCCAGGCATGGTTTTGTGATGTTATCTAGATTAACTTGCTTCCTGATAGGCCTGTATGGTTTATCTTTATTAGCTTAACTGACATGGAAAGACCTATCTTGTTTCTTGTTTCTAAGTGTTTATTTTCATTTTTATTTGTGTGAGTGTGTGTGGGTGCACAGGCCAAACAATGGTGTCAGATCCCTGGAGCTGGAGTTACAAGTGAGCTGTGTATCATGGGCCTTGGCAAACAAGCTCAGGTCCTCTGAAAGAGCAGCAAGTATCCATGACTGCTGAGTCACCTCATCACTCCTGGAAGATCTATCTTAATTGTGTCACCATCCCATAAGCTAGCCTCCTGGGCTTAATAAAAAGGAGAGAAGAAGCCGAGTACTGGAGTTCATGTTTCCTGACTGTGGATGCGGTGTGACCAGCTGGCTCAAGTTTCTGCTGCCATGACTATTCCACCATGATGGACCATACCTTCAAAGTGTGAGTCAGGAGAAAAAAAAAACCTTCCTTAAATTGATTCTGTCAATTATTTTGACAGAGGAATAATATAAGTAACTAATTCAAATACTGTAGCTACCAGTAAAATATGGAATCCCTTTACTACCCAAGAAAAATATGTAAATGATTTTCATTAAAATATAGCTGTCAAATGTTTGTTTGTTGTGTCAATGACTCATAGAGAGAAAATTCAGGAATTTTCCCTCCAAACACCTCTGAGGGAGCTGGAGAGATGGTTCAGTGGTTAAGAGTATTTGATGTTCTTGCAGAGGACCTGGATTTGATTCCCATTCTTCACATGGCAGTTCAACATTGCCTATAACTCCAGTTCTAGGCTATCCAATGTCTTCTTTTGACATTCACAGGTACCAGCACACAAGTGGTGAATGTATATAAATATACATGTAAACATTTATACTTATAAACTAGACATGAATCTTTAAAAAATGGGAATCCTTAAATGCTTTAGAAGAGACTCAAAGAAGAACATGTGGCTACAGGGAAACTCCTGCTATTCAAATGTGGTCCATGGATCAGCAGCATCTAGGAGCTTATTAGAGGCACACAATTGCAAACCTCTGTAGTGGAGGGGTGTGGGTAGTGTGGTGGACAGTACATGTACTCACTAGAGTTTATTGGAGATTTTTAGTTTTCTTCTCAATTCCTCTATGACCAGAAATTGCTCTACAAATATTATTCTCTTATAGGAATCAAAAATTAAATAAGGGTTGGTAAGATGGCTTAGTGATTAAAGGTATTTGCTGAGCAAGTCAGATGAACTGAATTTGATTCCCGTATCCATGTAAGGTGGACAGAAAACCCTGACTCTACAAGTTACCCTGTGACTGCCACATGCATAACATAGCAGGTGTACTTCCTCATACCCCCACACAAATGATTAATAATAATAATAAATTTAAATTAAAGGGGTCTGGAGAGATGGTTCAGTGAGTAAGAGTTCCTTTTGTGCCAATGGAAGATTCTGAGTTCAAATTACCAGAACTCACATAAATAGGTGACCATGTGTTCTTGCAACCCCATTGAGGAAGGGAAATGGAGCCAAGAGGGTCACTGGGGCTTTCTGGATACCAGAATAGATCCACATGCATCTAGAGCCCCTGCCCCCAAAGAATAAGAATAACATAGCAGAATGCCAACATTCTCCTCTGGTCTTTGTGAGCCCATGTGCATGTGTGTATGCACACACACAGAGACACAGACACACACAGAGAGAAAAAAGGACCCACCATGACATACAAAAGAGCCCGGGGTGAATATGCATAAGAGAGTTGAATGCAAAGAAACTAGTGGCTAAAGGAAAGTAACAGGGAATGCGTGAGATCACAGTGATAGAAACAACTGAACAAAATTGAGATAACTGATAGAATTTAAAAAGTAAAGAAGAGGACATTCCTTTACACGAGGTAATGGCTGGGAAGCATAGAGTAAAGGGTAGGAGAAAAGCCATTATTCTGTAGTTACAACAATAATAATAGTTTTCATCACAAAGTATTCACAGAGATAAGAAATCAGGGGATTAAAAGAATGAAGAAGAGCAGGGTATAGAGTTTCCCAGATGCTATTTCCACAGAGCAGAATAAATCGCAGATGAAGCTGTTGAACACAATCACACCACTCTCTCCCAGGTATTATCCTCATTGCTGGACAGTGCACTTTGATGGGGGCCTAGATGCAAATTCCCAGCAGAGATACAGAATTAGTAGAACAATGAGGGCTGATGAGACGCCAAGGACAATGGCACGGGGTTTTGAACCTACGTAATGTGCTGGCTTTGTGGGAGCCTAGCCAGTTTGGATGTTCACGTTCCTAGAAATGGACGGAGAGGGGAGGACCTAGCACTTACCACAGGGCAGGTAACCCTGACTGCTCTTTGGACTGGAGAGGGAGGGGGAGAGGAGTGGGGGGAGGGGGAGAAGGGTGGGAGGAGGGGGAGGGAAATGGGAGGCTGGGAGGAGGTGGAAACTTGTTTTTTTTTCTCCTTTTCTCAATAAAAAAATGGAAAAAAAAAGTGGGATTGAACGGAAATGAGAATCAGACTCTTCTCTGACAGATAACCCAGTACCAATGAGGACTTCCTGAAACAAAATGTATCTTTCTGGCAGCCCTACAAGCTCTGGTCCAGTGAACTTCTAGAAAGCTACCTTGGACCCCATAGGTATCATCAATGTGCACATCTTTCTGAAATTTGTTAGAATTTCTTCCATCCTGGACCACCTCATGTATACGTTCTGATACCCTCTTCTCTCTGGGCTTCTTGAGTCACACACCGTGAAGTATCCTGTGTTACCTTTCTGGGACTCTTCGCCTTTTGATTTCTGAGTGTTCATCATTAGCTGAAGAAAATCCACTCGTGTCTGGAAACAGAAAGAGAAAAGTCAATGATAAATATTTAGTTGAGAGGTCAGACTTGAAACAAGGGTTCAGAACATCACCTCTCTTCTGAGAATATGGCTACCTGAAGCCACAAGTATGGTTTGAGTTACCAATGAATAAAAGCATTTATGGGGTGAGGAAATTGCTCAGTGGTTAAGAGCACTAAGTGCTCTTGCAGAGGACCTGGGTTCAGTTTCTAGTATCCACAAGGTGAATCACAACCACTTGAAATTACAGTTCCAGGGGGTCTCATGCCCTCTTCTGGCCTCTGCAGAGACTGCACATGGCATACAGATGAGCAAAACACCCATACAATTAAAAAATAAAGGAAAACTAAAGACTCTATCAGTGAGCCTTGGAGAACAATACATTTCCTGTGAGAAATGCAGCTTTTGGTCTTTTTTCTCCTGATATGTTTCTCTGGCTTTTGAGCAGATTCCTGGCAAAAGAGCTGTTAGATCCTTCTATCATCATGCTTGCTCAGGAAAGTCCCTGAACACCAACTCTCTCTGTTTTCTTACCACAGTACTCAGCCAGCAGCACTTTTTTTATTAATTCTATTTCTACTCTCACTGCCAAGTTTTGGGTGAGCATCTCCTGACTCTCACACACTCTAGGCAGTACACAATGCCAAGTGTCATAACAGGTGTTCATCTCCATAATCTCCAGACAACCTTTTTGTGGCCTCCAGGCTACATAGAGCAGAGCCATGTAAGCAGCCTGGAAACTGATTGTCCAGAGGAAGTATTTACCTACTGGGTAAGTGGCTTCTGGTCTCACTGCCAAGAGAATACCTATACACAAAGCAGGAGGCATTCAAATTTAACATAGGCCAATCTCCACCAGGTATGACCATACTTCTTTTGAAGATTATATCAAAATAAGAGGTCTAAAATTTAAAACATCCTTTTGATGATATAAATTTTAGGGGGAGAATAACAGTAGTAGATATATTTTCTAAGTATGAATTCTATTTTTGACTTCTTTCAATAAAGTGTGGTGGCAATATTTTTACTTAATTAGTGATTATCTTAGAGCATAGTATATTCACTCTTTTGACAAATGTGAAACTGTTTCTCTCAATCATACTCATATAGAATCTTCCATCTTTTTCTTCTCCCTAAAATGTAAACATTGCCTTACCCTAAGCATAGTTTTCTTTATTTTTAAGAGAACCCAGAGTAAAGTACATAAATCACATACTCACAGCCTGATACATGACCAAACCCTGAGCATCATGACCAAACCCTGAACATTGTGACCAAACCCTGAACATTGTGGCCAAACCTTGAACATTGTGACCAAAACCTTAAGCATCATGACCAAACACTTAGCATTGTGACCAAACCCTGAACATTGTGACCAAAACCCCAAGCATCATGACCAAACCCTGAGCATCATGACCAAACCCTGAGCATCATGACCAAATCCTGAGCATCATGACCAAATCCTGAGCATCATGACCAAATCCTGAGCATCATGACCAAATCCTGAGCACCATGAAAGCAGCATCAAAATTTACCTCCTGGTTTGAATCAAGGCGATTTTTCTTCATGCTTGTTACAAATTTTTTGAAAAAGTTCACTGATTGTCTTGGAAAAATGGAGAGACTTAGTAACTCATATATCGGAGTAAGGAATGGAAACAGAACTACAGAGAAAAAAATAAACGCAGAGAATAAGTGACTAAGGATTGTCCAACATCAACTGATATGTCTACAAAGCAATCTCTTTATTTAAGGCTCAGGGTAAATCATGTATGAGAGGGTAGAAAGGGTATAAAACCAAGAATATAAGAAAGTCTGCTATGAGATTGCATCTTCTAGACACAGCCTAGAAACTGGACCCATGAAATCTCAATAATAGTGTTATTTAGATAATATCTGTGCAATGATAACACTGGTTGACATGCCAATGTAGACGGAGAAATCCCACTGGTTCTTACTTCTAGATGAAGAGCCACGGGGAACTAATGACTATTGAGAGAAAGAATGATTTTTCCCCAAGGATGAGTCCCAGATAGGTAATCCAATTCCAAGTAGTTAACCATAAGCACGTATATAAGAGCAACACTAAATGGATTCTGTAGGATATATACATGTGCATATATCTATATATAACCATTATAGTTATAAGGGAAGAGTCATGGATTCAAGGAGTTGGGGACATGAGTGGAGTTAGAGGTACTAGAAATAAAGAAAATATATACTCACGTATAAAATTTAAAAAAATAAGAACTGTAAATAATACCCCATAAAGTTGGACTCCTAAATGTACCCTAAGAAGGCAATAATAAAAAATCCTGAAGAAAAAAGTGAAGTTTCAGATGGGATGGTGCTGTAAGAACTCCTTCGGCCACTAGCCTTTAAGACACCAGCCCACTTAGGTGTGGCCTTTTATACTATAAATGCCTGTGTAAGGCAAGCGTTCACTCTCTCTCCTGACTTCTGGATTCAGTTCCTGTTCCCTGTTTGTGCAGAGGACTATGATCTGTGAGTCTACCCCTAAATAAATAACCCTTTAGTATACGCGGTTCTGAGCCAATATGGGATTAATTTGTAAATTCCATTTTCATCTGGCACCCAATGTGGGTAAAATTTGGAGAAAATGGAACCCTTCTGAACTACTGGCAGCAAAACAAACAAAAAGTCCTGAAAAAATTTAGTTCCCCAACAAGTCAGATAAAAAAAATTCCTCTATAATTCATTAATCCCACACCAATTTCCTACTCAAAAACCATGAAAAAATGCCATCAGATGGTTCAGAATATGATGGAACATAGGAGTGGCAACAAATGGGTCTGCTGAATATAGGATGTTAAGTGACAGAAACTAGTTGCCAAATTCCATATACTGTAAAAAATATTTGTATTATGTTTTAATGTTATGCTCAGAATAGGCAGTTTTACAGGAACAGACAGTTAATGGAACATTTCTTATGGTGCAGAGAAATGGAAGATGAGAATGAAAAGGTGTAATTTTGCTTGGACAACACACTTCCTGGTTGACAAGGGTGATGGGTTTCTGTCCCTTTGGTGAACAAAAATTGAATTATACACTTTAAATAGTTGAACTTTTTACATGTGAACTATATCTCAATTATGGTGTTATTTTGATTGGTGTGTGGGAGAGAGGAATAAAAAGAAAGAAGAAGCTGGGTGGTGGTGGTATACACCTTTAATCCCAGCATTTGGGGAGACAGAGGCAGACAAATTATCTGTGAGTTCAAGGCCAGCCTGGTCTACAGAAGGAGATCCAGGACCAAAAAAAAAGAAAAGAAATAGTGTACATACATATGGAGAGAAGAAATGGATCAAAAACTGAAAACTTTAAGAGCTTCTTGGCTTTCTGTACAAATGGATCTTGTGGGTTGTTGAGGGAATCAACGTTCACTCCAAATGATGTGCCGGTGATCACATCCATGCTATAAGCTCCAAGGATGCTGAGTAGGGAGAGACATGGAAATCAACATCTGCATCTGAGGCAGCTCTTACTTCTGAGCTACCCAGGCAGGGAGCCACACAGTCAGAACCTCCTGCTGCATCGGCAGTGAAGTCAAGGTTTCTATAACATACATGGGACATTTGCCTGTGGTTGGTTTGCAGATGTCATTTTCCTATAGTTGAGGGGATGCTAAGTGCTTGCACTGCTATCAACCACATCATCACTTACTCTTTCATGGTGACGGGCTTCCCTTTCTCTTCTTCTCGTTTCAAGTTTTTCACCAACGTATCTCCATACTGTCCAATGATGGGAAACATCTAAGCATAAAACACAACATTTGTAGATAAATGTCGAAACTCAGGTACTAGAAAGACAACTTGTTCCCAGTAACAAAGCAATGAGTCAGATGTTACAGTGGATTTTATAATGGATCCTCTGGGTATGAAAATGAAAGACCATCTTATAGGAACTGTAATGCAGAGGACTGACCCTTGGAAAAGGACTATGGGCTAGTTTTCTACCTGTCCCTAGATTTCAGTAAATTCCCTCTCCATCATCACCTGCTTGAGTTTTCCACTGGTGAATGTTGGAGACAGCAGTATTCGAAGTCTCTTCCATTCTTCATCCTCGGAAATACTGATGGCCTTTTTCATAAATCCCACTGGCCCAAAAGACTAGAGTTCAAACAGAAAGAATATCTATGCACATCTAGAAAATATTAACTAACATGACTACAAACTTGACTATTATTTATGATTATCCATCAACAACCTATATTTCCTAATTATACATTACATTTTAATAATGAACTACACAATCACAATACCTTAATCAATATCAGAAATACATATACATATAACAAACTTGACCGTAAATCTCTATCAATAAAGCAAAATCTATACTAATGCAAATTATTCATACCTATATCACCCCATAGGCTCATAGCTTTGAATGCTTGGTCATCAAGGAATGGTGCTGCTTTACAGGGATTAGGAGGTATGGCTTTGTTGGAAGAGGTGTGTCACAAGGGGTGAGATCTGTGGTTTCAGAAGCCCACGCTAGGCCCAGTGTTTCTTTCTTCTTACTGTCTGTCAGTCTGGATGTAGAACTTTCAGCTACCTCTCCAGCACCGTGTCTGCTTGCATCCTGCTGTACTTCCCACCATGATGACAATGGACTAAACCTCTGAAACTGTAAGCCAGCCCCAATTAAATGTTTTATTTACTAAGAGTTGCCGTGGTCATGATGTCTATTCACAGCAATAACACATTATTAAAACTAAGACAATAGTAAAGATTTATATTTTTTCAAAAAGGACACCTGCCCGACGGTTTGTGAAGATGGAGTAGCATTCTTTCACCAGCACTGTTTTGATGATTTCTGGATCCATGACAGCCAGCACAGGCTGTTGACCATCGTATAACCTGAGGTGGGAAAACAGGTGGATTGAACCTCAGAAGTCAGATTCTGCACCTGGATTTACACCTGGGATGCCAGACTCCACCCCCGAGGCTGCACAGGCCACACCCCAAGCTCTATAAAGCATAGTAACCTGAACTCCTACTTCAAATTCTGACTATAGAAGCCACTGGAGTCTTGTGAAATGAAGGGTAGTGTGGCTAAAGCAGGGAAGAGACACTTAGGATGAAAACAGCTCTTCAAAGACGTCCTTATTAAGAATAAACACTGGTACATCAGTTTAGGCTAGGCAAACATACATGGTTATTGCCAATACCATTCTTTCATGTTTAAATAGTTCATTATCTCTGTTGGGCATGCGGCTCAGTGGTAGAACCCTTGTCTGTCAAGTGTGTGGCACTGGGTTTGACACCCCAAGAGATATAAACAATTCAGAAAAATGAATAAATGATTCTGAAGTCAAAGCAGAATGTATCAGAGGAAACTAATCACCGTTCCTAATAATGTTGCAGGAACAGCTGTTTGGGGTCACCAGAGAGCAGCACAGCCTTGCTTAGCATTGAATCACATGGTCTCTAAGGATTGCTTCACCTCAGAAGATCCTGTGGCCAGATCTATGGTTTCTGGGGATGGATGAGAGGAGATGAAGAGGCAGAGCCTCCTCCCACTAACTTATGTCTCACAGCACTTCCTCCAAACCTCTAACAGGGAAGGGCTTTGTCACAAGCTCAGCCACTCAGCAAAACTGCTGAAGGCTTAACTTTGAAGGAGTAAAGAGTGGCTTAAACATTCCCTTCACTTCTTCTTCAATGTCAGTAGAATTAAATGGACAGGAAGTATCCATATATTCTAGCAAAAGTTCTTATCTTGAAATTAATAATGGACCAAAATCAAAATAGTGATACAGACGCCCCACATAAGGTTGAGCAATCTGGAGTCTCTTGTCTGCATATTGACCAGTGTGGGCCTCTATGTCAGTCATGACCTCCTGAAGCAAGGAGCTCTGCTGATGAGCACTGAGAGGCGAAATAATCTCTGGGCCTGCAGACAAGTCATCTGGAGTACATTCAGTGCTATGTCTAGTTTGCATAATGATAGTAGCAGAGCCTTCTTCTAAGGCTCAAGGATGATAGCAGAAGAGGTGTAAAAAGATTCTAAGAGCTTGAGGCAGAAGACAATAAGGAAACTGTCTTCTGTACTCATATGGAATGGTTGTGACAACACGCACAAGTACTTCTTAAACTCAGGCCTGAAGAAAAGTCCCAGCATAGAGAAGGGAGGTGGGCCAGAAGTCCCATCCCTAGCTGACAAGCCATTGGCGATGGCTGGAAGACCATTCTCATTTCCTCCCCTCCAATCCCTACCATCACTACTCCCCTCCAATTTCATGTGCTCTTTCTTTTTTCTAAGCTACTCTGTCTACTTAATGCTGCCAATGTATTGATGTGCATAGGGTCATCTATTGGAGCATGGGGTAGCCATTCAGGAGCCCCATCCTTGTTCTCTTATCAGCCATGCTTTGCCAACTTCTCAGCTAGGGATGGGACTTCGTGACCATCTCCCCCCACCATGCTGGGATTTTGTCTAACTTGATCTTGTGTGGATAGACCAGTCACAGGCCCAAAATGGACAATAACAAACCAACTTCCAAAAGTCTTTTTACACCTATAGATTAGTGCCGATCTCAACCCTCATTAGAGAAGCTTCTTTTAGCACAGTGGCTCTCAACTTGTGGGTTGTGACCATCAGAAAATACATATTTTCAATGATCTTAGGAACTGAAATACCACTCAGTAGCAAAATGAAAGTTATAAAGTAGCAATAAAAATAAACTTACGTTCCTAAGACAATCAGAAATATTTATTCTCTGATGGCCATGACTCAACAGTTGAGAACTGCTGCTTTAGCAGCAGATGGTGACTAGCATCTAGTCAACATGACTAAAATAAGACTGTGGTGTGCTTGCTCCTAAATGGGGCATCTTGTCACACCCTCTCTTAGTCAGGGCTATTATTGCTGTGATGAAACACTATGACCCAAACAAGTTAGGGAGGAAGGGGTCTATTTGGTTTACAGTTTCATGCTACAGCTCATCACTGAAGGAAGTCAGGACGGGAACTCATACAGGGCAGGGTTTTGGAGGTAGGAGCTGTTGCAGAAGCCATGGAGGGGTGCTGCTTATTGGCTTTCTCTTCATGCCTTGTTCAGCCTGCCTTCTTATAGAACCCAGGACCACCAAGCCAGAGGAGGCACCACCTATAATGGACTGGGTCCTCACATATCAATAACTAATTAAGAAAATGCCCTACAACTAAATGTTGTGGAGGCATTTTCTTAACTAAGGTTCTCTTCTTTCAGATGACTTTACTTGTATCAAGATACTACAAAACTAGCCAGCCCATCTTCCTTCTCCAAGGCTCAGGCATCATCTTGGAAGATGGGGTTGGAAGAACTGTAAGAGCTGGAGGCTGCGAATGACCCTGGTGAAACTGTTTTCTGGACCCAACAGTACAATTCCGCATTTGAACTGACATTGGCATGACTGTATGCATAGGACTTTCTATTTTTAAAAATAGACTTGATGTATGAGAAGGAAGAGGCAATGAGCTGTTCCCTAGGGTCATCAAATCCCAGAGGGTGCCATGACAGACAACACTCACAACTGAATTCACACTGGTCAACTTGATGCCTGTGATATGTATCATCTTTATCAGAACAAACCTTCAAAGGCCTTACCCCAAGAACTGTGTCCTGACACTGTCCTCCTAAGGGAGTTGTGTTATCCTAACAAGTATTCCAAATAGCCAATTTCAGAAGACTCACCCCCATGTTTTCCCATACTTCTTATAGCAATATTCGTCAAATTTCCATGTACCCTGGTAAGAGAAGTAAAATGAAATTTGTTATTGTTCTGTTACCTACTAACCCTTCCTAACTAGGGCACAAATGACTCAAGTCTCACAAAATTGGGCTGCCTGTCCCATTGGCAATCAGATGCAAGTTATCATTAGAGATATCTGAAGGGATGGGGAGACTAGAGGAGTTGTCTGGAATAACGAATTTAAGCTGTTCTTGCAATTTCTCGGGGGTTTAGAACACTATAGTAATAAAGAAAGGACAGGGAGCCTATAGTTCATGATCCTACAGAAACTAAGTTATAAAAGAAAAACATATATGGAACCACTTGGGGGTTGGAGACAGACAGGGTCACCTGACAGGATGAGGAGCATGGGAGTGGGGGGGTAGAGGAATGGAGGGTTGAGGAGAGCTTGGGGGAATGGGACAGTCAAGATGGAGGGGGGGCAGATATGAGAGAAGGGAGAGACATCTCTTGATTGGGGGAGCCATTGTGGGATTGGTGGGAAGCCTGGCTCTGGAGAGGTTCCTAGGAGTCCACAGGTATGGCCCTAGCTAAGACCCTAGGCAATAGTGGAGAAGATGCCTGGACTGACATTGCCCTGTATTCAGATTGATGATTATCTTAAATATCACCAAAGAAATTTCATCCAGCAACAGATGGAAACAGAAGCAGAGTCCCACATCGGAGTACTGGACTAAGCTCCCAAGGTCCAGCTGAAGAGTGGGAGGAATGGGAATATGAGCAAAGAGGTCAAGACCGTGATGGGGTCATTCACTAAAGCAGTTTGCCTGAGCTAATGGGAGCTCACAAACTCCAGCCAGACAGGGAAAGAACAAGCATAGGACCAAGCCAGTCCCTCTGAATGTGGTTGACAGTTGTATGGCTGGGACAGACTGAGCAGCACTGGCAGTGGCACCAGGATTTGTCTCTGTTGCATGTATTGGCATTTTTTGGGATCCTATTCTCTTTGGATGTATACCTTGCTCATGCTGGATGTAGTGGGGAGGGCCTTGGATCGTCCACAAGGCAGGGTGCCTTGTCCTCTCTTAGGATTGGAGGGGGTGGGGTAGGAGGGTGTGTGGAGGGAATGGGAGGAGGGGAGGGAGTGGGAATTTGGATTGGTATTTTTTTTTTAAAAAATCTAATAAAAAATAAAAGAAAAAACAATGCAATACACAAAAACAAAACTAAACAAAGAGAGAACACTGGTTACTCTTTCAGAAGACCTAAGTTTAATTCCCAGCCATCTGTAATTCCAGCTCTAGGGATCTGAGACCCTCTTCTGGCCTCCTCAGATAGTGCACAGATGGTATACAGACGGACCTCAGGCAAACACTCATACATTTTTAAAAATAAAGCAAGAGAGTAACACATGCCTGCAAATCCTAGCACTCCAGAGGTGAAGGCAGGAGTATCACAAATTTGATAGTTGCCATGGGCTGTGCAGTGATATTTGGTACCTACAGTTATAAAATAAATAAATAAGCAGATAGATAAATAAATACAGAAATGGGAAGACACCTCTAGGAAGAGGTGAAGAAGAAACAATACAGAAGGTGTCAATGTGAGAGAATGAGCGAAGACTATGAAAATCACAGCCAAATGGAGATGCCCTTCCTACAGGAGGGCAGAGTAAAGGACACTCACCGGGTCTTAATTTTCAGTACTAAAGACGAGAAATGAAGGCTTCCTATCACTGAGGTACAGCTGTGATGTAGTGCAATGGGCACAGCACATGCCTCGCTCTCACAAAGACCTGGTTTGCATCTTTGGAGGCTTCTTGTGGCTACTCCTGTACTTAATCCCAGCACTTGGGAGGTGGAGACAGGAGGATCAGAAATTCAAGTCATCCTTCCCTACATAGTGAGTTTCAGGCCAAACCTTGGTCACGTGAGACCTCATAAGGAAATAAAAGAAGTTTCACTATAGCAAGTGTGTTCTAGCTCTTGGGGGAACGTCTATTAGAGAGTTCACCTGAGAAGGCTGGAGTTATAGATGTGTGCCTGAAGGCCTGGCTTTACCTCTCACTTTTTCACTCAGAAGTATTTCCTTCCCACAGGATATACACATGCAATCTTATGTGAAGAATGAAGCCATGGGAAGCCATGAAGTGATGGAGGCCTCATTTAGAATTCAGGCCTGCAATAAGTTTCTAGCTATAAAATGTAGAATCTGACAGACAACTAAAGTCTTTGGGGGCATAGAATCTTAGCAGAGAGCAGCCCACATGCACTTGGAAGTTGATCTCATTACTTTCTGGCCAGGCTTCAGCCTCGGGCCGGGGTTAGACCAGGCTATTCACAAGAATCAGTCATTCATTGTAGATGGTACCAAATTTTTGGTAATTGTTGCTAAATCATCTTTCATATGGTGATTCCATGAAGTGAGTTCACCTTTGCATAGAAAAGCAAAATTTGCTGTGGTATCTGAGGGTGGGAAAAAAGCACCATTTCGTCTCAGTTGCAACCACATCCTGCTCACACTGGCCCTCAGCGTGCTGCCTTGAAGAAAAAGCAGCAATACAGAACACTATTATTCTGTCAAATCCCCAAAGATGCCCTGAGTACTAAAGCCTGCATGGAGCCATTGAAGTAACTGCAGGGGACTTAGCAGTCCCCGGGAGGTTTCTGGTAAGGGGGAGTCCCCTGTAGTCAATATACAGACAACCTGATGCCCGGATGCTGCATAGCTGGCCAGCAGGAAGAAAACAAATGCTGCTCCAGAGTCGGGTGTGAAGTCTAGTCTAGTGCACACAGGCTGGCGCAGCGCTACCGTGACCAGGCATGGTTTCCCATAAGTGCTGGCTTAGGAACGTGTGCCTTCCTGGAGACTCCACTGGAAAAAACCCCAGAGTTCTGCTGCTCCTTACAACCTGTGTGTGAAGTCCTGAACACCAGGCTCTAACTGTGGTCACAATTTTCTAACCAAAGCAAGTTGGAAGTTTTAAGCAATGTCAGCAAACCCTAAAAAAAAAAAAAAAGCCTGAGCACTCTCCTGGTTGGACACACAGTTTCCAGTGGTCTGACACCCCAGAACTTCCTCCCAAGGACTGGCATATGTATCTATGGAAGTGATCCATAAATGGATGCATAAGAAGTTGTAGTTGGGCTGAGTGTGTTGGTACATGCTTTTAATCCCAGCACTTGGGAGGCAGAGGCAGGAGGATCTTTAAGAGTTCAAAGTCAGTCTGATCGACATACAGTTCTAAACCAAGTTGGCTACATAGTAAGACCCTGTCTCCAAAAAGGTCCCAGAAATAGCTCTGCAGTTGGAGTAACTGGCTGCTCTAGCAGAGGAACCAAGTTTAGTTCCCAACACCCACATGGTGGTTTACAACCATCTGTAACTCCAGTTCTAGGAGACCTGATACCTTCTTTGGACCTCTGCAGGCACCAGGCTCACATGTGGTGCACAGAAGTAAGTGCACACAAATACTCATAATCCAAAAAGAAAATAGATAAATCTAATTTTAGAAGGAATTGCAACTCTAAGAAATGATAAAGAAGCCAGATAATAGCTGCAGTGGTGCATACCACCTTTAATTCCAGCACTTGAGTGTAGTGGGGAACTGTGGGCCGCTTCCCACAGCTCAGCTCCCGGCCAACGGCTAGCTTTACTCAAAATAATTACACAGAAACTGTATTCTTTTAAACACTGCTTGGCCCATTAGCTCTGGCCTCTTTCTGGCTAATTCTCACATCTTGATTAACCCATTTCTAATAATCTGTGTAACACCACAAGGTGGTGGCTTACCAGGAAAGATTCTTAACCTGCATCCATCTCAGAGAGAAGAACTATGGTGACTGACCTCACTGCCTTCTTCCCAGCATCCTGTTCTGTTTACTCCGCCTACCTAATTTTCTGTTCTATTAAAGGGTCAAGGCAGTCTCTTTATTTAACCAATGAAATCAACACAAAACAGAAGACTCTCGCATATCACTTGAGGGGCTGTGGCAGGCGGATCTCTGTGAGTTTGAAACCAGCCTGGTCTATAGAGCATGTTCCAGGACAGCCAGACAATCAGGGCTGCTGGACAGAGAAACCCTTTCATGAAATACCAAAAGCGGAAAAGAAATGAATGGAAAAACTTAAACACTACTCACTTCACGATAGGAAAGAATGTTGCCAAATAAAGGCAGAGGTTTTGGTCCAGGAATTCCAAGTTTCTTAAAAATCCCATGAGAATAGGTCCCATATCTGTGAAGTAATAGAGAAATCCAAGTTGTCGGGATTGCCATTGTGACTTTACACAGGTGGACATGTGTCAGTCATTGACTTAATAGCTGCAAGAATCAAACCCCTGAAATATCATCTAGGCAACAAATAACAGTAAAAACATAAGCAACTACAATCCCAAAAGCTGAATGACCAAAAGCTAGGCAGGATTTTTAGGGCAGAGAGGACACTGGAAAGAAGGGTAGAGATGAGGAGAGATGGCAACCAGACAGAAAGCAAGCAGCAGGGGGAGTGTAGAGTAAAGGTAATAGAGCCTTGCGGGGAAAAAAATGTAGATTGATAAAAATGGGTTAATTTAAATTGTAAGAGCTAGCTATCAATTGAACTTTCCGAATTAATAATAAGTCTCTGTGTTGTTATTTGGGAGCTGGCAGGTGGGACAGAAAAATCTGCCTACAGAGCACCTCATCAAGGCCTGATTAGCAACTGGGATTCTTCCCCAAAGATTGTGCTGGATGTCTTTTGCTATTAACAAATAAACAATAAATCAGAGAAAACAGCAACAAAACTTTTAGTGTTAAGTGGTTTCCATATTGCAGGGTAGAAACACGGGTTGTAGGAAGGAATTGTGTTCCAGATAAAGACCAGAGAAGAGAAGAACAGATGTTGACCTTTCTACAAGAGCGTGGGTATTGTGCAAATTAGGTTTTCTGTTTGTTTACTTGTTTGTTTGTTTCTTTTATATTAACTTGACTCAAGCTAGAGTCATCTGGGAAGAGGCAATCTTAAATGAGAGATTGTCTTTGTCAGATTGAACTGTGGGCAAGTCACGGGGCATTTGCTTGATTAATGATTGATGTAGAAGGACTTGAGTTCACTATGGTGTCATTGGTTCCTGGGTTGTAAAAAAGCTGGCTGAGTGAACCATGGGGAACACACCCATAAGCAGTGTTCCTCCATGGCTTATTCTTCAGTTCCTGCCTTCAGGTTCCTTCCTTGGCTTCTCTTCTTGATGAATTGTAAGCTCTTATGTGAAACAAAGCCTTTCCTTTTCAATTTGCTTTTGTTCGTGGATGGTATTTATCACAATAGTAGAAAGAAAATTAGAACAGAGGCATTGTGTGACTTTGTGTAAATCAGGTTGGAAGGTGTGACAGATGAGAAAAAGAAACACCCACATCCACAGGGCACCTGTCACATACACATCACTTAAGCTGACAAAAGAGAGAAGGAAAAGAAAATGAGAAAAAAACACCTAAACAAACAGGCTGTTGGAGTCTCAAATCCTTGGAAAGGCCATGACTGCTAATGTATAAGAAGCAACATAGGGAGAAAGGGCTTATTTTCCTGACAGTTCTGCATTGCAGTCTATTGTATCTGGGAAGTTAAGACAGAAACCCGAGTATCAAGTACAGCTAAGAGCACAGAGAGAATAGACAAAACCCTCCGAGCAATAAGATTAGATAGAGTTCTGAGTGGGATCTCCTCGGATGGGCCAACGATGATAGGAACTACCTAAGTGCTGATTTGCCACTTCCCCTCCATGATCTCTTTGGCTGTTTCAACAGGAAAAGGAAGTGGTGCCCTGAATATTACACGAAATCCAGTTACAGGTAGGCGAGGAACCTGGGCAGCTACTCACATGTAGATAAGCACCAAGCTGGTAGCCAGCAGCACCAAGGTTTCTGTGGAAAGGTTGGGGATGAGCTCCATCTCAGCTCTCCTTCAGTAGTTCTGGCTCCAAGATTTCCTCCCAACTGAGAGTCTTGGTGTGCCCAGCTGAGATCCAGTGAGATACAGTGTTTAATGCTCAGTGAGGCTAGTCTGCAGTGTTTAATGCTCTGGGAAAGGAGGAGGTGTCAGGGCTGCAGCCAGTAGATGGGCCACTGGCACACTGTCTGAACTTGGAGGTGTGGTCTGTCCACATGGCACTGTGAAAGTGTCAAAGTTCATGAATTTCCTTGCTCTGACCTTTGAGTTTGCATTCTGTGTTTGTTTTTTCAAAAGCCCAAATCTATTGGTACTACTTTCTTCTAATTTGCAGTTGTGTCCATGGCTGTTCTAATTCCAAAACACATTAAGTCCACACAGTTAAACTGTAGATACTGATCTTTGCCTATGCAAGGCCTTCTTCTGATATAGGTATGAATAATTTGCATTGGTATGGATTTTAAGGTCAATTTTGTTATATGTATATGTATTTTTGATCTTGAATAAGGTGTGATTGTGTAGTTCATTTTTAAAATGTAATGTATAATTAGGAAATATAGGTTGTTGATGGATAATCATAAATAATAGTCAAGTTTGTAGTCATGTTACTTAGATTTTCTAGATATATAGAGATACATTTCAAATAGGTATTCTTCATATCTCTCAAAGGCTACAGAATATGGCATTTAAAATATTTTAATAACTTAGGACTTTTCATGACAATGAGACATGTCTGCTCCTGGCGGCACCAATCTACTTCGAGAGGAAGATGGGCATCGAAGAGGATCGTTATGGAGTTTGATAGCCATTTGGGCAAGAAACTGCTTTTGCCTGGACTGTTGCATAAACTGGACAAAGAGAACCCGCAGAGAGAGGACTGCTGAACTTGCCTAAAGGTGAGATGGTCTTTTGGGGTTCCTGACTCATGAAAGAGTCTGCGAGACATTCTACAGGACACAGCAGAAAGTGACTGGACTGTCTTTGGAATTTCCTGCTTGATGAAAATGTCTGCTGGATACTATGGGCCTGAAGGCTGAAGATGGATGCCCCAATGGTACAAAAGAACTTTGGGTGACTGTCTAGGCAGCGAGATGTCTCTGTCATTTCTAGAGTTTTCTTATTTCTTGTTTACTTAGGTAGTATTATATCCTTCTGGAGTCTTTGATGGAGTTGAAGAATGAATAGATAGTTATAGTTTTCCTTAGTTATGATAAAAGATAAAATAGATATAAATATTGTAACTGTAATTCTTGCTTGATAACTGTTTTGCTATATGTAATTTTGCTATGTTAAAGTTAAAGCCTTCCTTTTTTTGTTTAAACAGAAAAAGGGGACATGATGTGGGAATGTCATATATCAATCTGTTGATTTCATTCGTTAAGCAATAAAGAAACTGCTTAGTCCTCATAGGTTAAAACATAGGTGGGAGGAGTAAACAGAACAGAAGGCTGGGAGAAAGAAGCTGAGTCAGGAGTCACCATGATTCTCCCACTCCAGACAGACGTAGGCTAGAATCTCCCTGGTAAGCACACCTCGTGGTGCTACATAGATTAATAGAAATGGGTTAAGAGGCTGAAACTAAGGGGCCAAGCAGTGTTTAAAAGAATACAGTTTCCGTGTAATTATTTCGGGGCATAAGCTAAAGCTAGCCGTGCAGGCGGCCGGGGTGCCGGGGACGCAGCCCCGCCGCTCCAATTATTACAACATTCTTCCTTTAAGGTCCCCATGTGTTCCTGAAGATGTGAAACCCACAACTGAAAATCACTTCCCATTCTCCACTCCTTTGTTCCTTGGCACAAAATTCCATTGTTTTTCCCTGTACTCTTACATTTATTTTCTCTTTATGACGTTTCATGGCATTCTTTCCTATCCTCCAGCTCTTGCCTTCTTTCTTCCATCTTTTCTAAGGTGTTAGGGAACTGTAGCCCTGGATAGGAGAGTTGATAGAGACATCTCATTTACAGCAAGACACTTGCAGTCACTATGTCTCTTTTAATAGAGCCTTATCAAGTCTGTTGGGTATGTTATGGTGGTATTTTCATTATCACTTTATAGGCACAGAGACAGGAAGAGGTGAAAGAAGTGTCCAAGACAGAACCGCGAAGGCAGGAAATAGAATTCTGATGAATCATAATTTTGTAGATAGCATTGTGCTTGTCTTTGAATAGGCTCCTAAGAACCTTGCTGATTGAGTCAGCATCACACCATGTAAATATTTCACTGTACACCTCCTAAAATACTCCTAGTGTGGCCAAAATTGTTACAAAATGGCTTTGTAAGCACAAAATCCACATGAACATCTTAATAGCCATTGTTAAATTGTGTAGACATTCTCTATTCCCAAGTAGTAGGATGCTATGAGCTAAGTTCAAAATGACCAAGAAAGTGGACTTTGAGGTCAGTCGTAGGTAGATGTCTTTATTACTTTGCTATTGCTAATGAAGAGATGTTATGACCAAGGCAACTTATAGAAGAAAGAGTTTCAGGGGCTATAGTTTCAGGGGCTTAGTCCATGACTATCATGACAAGGAAGCAAGGCAGCAGTAGGCAGGCATAGATTTGAAGCAGTAAGTGAGAGCTTGCATATTAAAACAACAGCTGCAAAGCAGAGAAAAAGCTAAGAATGGCATGAACTTTTGAAATCATAAAGCTGGATCTGGGTGGTGGTGGATAATGCCTTTAATCCCAGCACTCAGGAGGCATAGTCATGTGTATAGAGTGAGTTACCAGATAGTCAGGACTACCCAGAGAAACCCTGTCTCAAAAGGAAAAAAAAAAGAATGGAAGGAAGGAAAGAAGGAAGGAAGGAAGGAAGGAAGGAAGGAGGGAAGAAGTTTCAAATACTACTCTCCAAAAAGGCCACACTTCCTAATCCTTCCCAGTTTGCTGGTTGCATTAGCTAGGGACCTAGTGCTCAAATATCTGAGCCTTTGGAAGCCATTTTCTTTCAAAGCACCACAGCGGGTGACTGAAGCTATCTGCCATCTAGAACTTCTTGCGATTAGAGCTAAGACACTAATTATGACAAGTATTGATTGTTGTCATGTAGAACCATAGGCCTGAGATAATCCTTCATAAATATTAAACAAAGACTTCATCTAACCTCACGAACTTCATGACATTCACTTTGTCTTCACTCAGTGTTGGAAACTCTGATGAGAGGGATTTGGCTCAGCCCAAATGCACAGCCTTAGGAACAACTCCAGTGCTGGCATTGGCAAAGATGCCCTTGACAGCTTTTCCTTAGGCAGTGTACATTGAAATGGAACCTAAAGACAGTTATGGAAAAGCCACCAATAATGACATGGAGCTAATGCTTTCATATAACAGAATCTCACTGGCATGTCTTTGTTGATGAAGAAACAAAGATCTCAGCCTCGAATCTTTAGGAGATTCAGAATTTCTTTCTTCTCCTTCCCTCCTCCTTCTCTTCCCTCCTTTTAAGTTTGTTTGGTATTTTTTCATTTACTTTAAATGTTCAATAATCATACTCCCCCCATTACCCACCCCATCATCTCCCATGACTCTCATCCCTTTGCCACTCCTACTGACTCATTCTTTTAAAATTAATTTATTTTAATATTACGTGTATGAGAGCTTGCCTGAATGCATGTTTTTGCAATATGTATATGCAGTGCCAGAAGAGGCCAGATGAGAGTATTGGATCCCCTGGAACTGGGATTAAAGATGGTTGTGGTCTGCCATGTCCATGCTGAGAATTGAATGGGGGTCTTTATCTAGAGCAGTCAGTGTTCTTAATGGCATAGCCATCTCTCCAGTTCTTCACTTCTTCTAAACTAGCCTCTCTCACATATCAGGGCCTATTTTGCATGCAGGTCCTGTGCAGTTAGCCACAGTTGCTGTGTGTCCATTATTTGGAATGGTCCTGACATATCTAAAAGACAGCATTTCAAAGTATTCTCCCCTCATCCTCCATCGCTTACAGTTTCAGAGGGTCTTCTCTTTGGTATATATAGTAGGCAGCAGAAATGCTGTAGGTTCCCAAATGGTGTTAATGGGCCATGTGGTGGCAGGCAGAGGGCCCTGGGAGCAGCCAGTACCAGGCAGAGATGGCTGCCAATCCCGGAGTTGTGGCTGGTCCCAGGCAGGGAGACACATGGCAGCAGGGAAGGAGAGAGTTACAGACACATTGTACAGAATAGAATTGGATATTTATTACTTAGAGGAGAAAGAGGCGTGGGGAAGAAGGAGAAGAGGGCAGAGATAGAAAAGGGGGAGCAGAGAAGTGGGGAGAGAGTCAGAAGCAAAGCTGCCTCTCTGAGAGGAAGGCAGAAAAGAGAGCAAGCTCAGGCCGGAAGCTGAAGATCAGCCTGCCTCAGCCAATGGAGGAGGGAGTGGGCATGGCTTGTCATAACAATGAAGTGGTTTTTTTTTTAATTTTTCAACTGAGACTCCCTCCTCTCAGATGACCTTAGCTTGTGTCAAGATGACATGAAACTCTTCGGCATAGAGACAAAACAAATCAGTGCCTGCAAGGCTTCAAGCCAGGTTGAGTATTAGCACTGTGAGGGGGAAGTAGGCAGGGGCTCCCACCTCTAACCAAGAAGCTATTTGCAATTGATAGCCCTTGGCAAAGGAAAAATCCATTTTCTCCAATGAAGTTTCCCTGAGTATTTAACCACATCTCTGGCAGGGCCTTGATCAGGAGTGGTTGGCTAACACAAAGCAACTGCTTTTTAAGGTTCTGTTTTGATTTATGTTTTCTGGGAGAAAGGATCAGAGTGCTCTTGAGTGTCAGTGGCCAGCCCTAAAGCTTTTCCAAGGCCTGAGTTTCCAAGGTGAACTAAAGTCCCCTTTTCAATGCTTAGTGGCAGTTACAAGGTTAGCTGAGTTTTTTGTTTAATATTTAACAAAGTTTATGACAGTGAGCTAGTATTGTAGGAAAATACAAGACAGGCGTTGCTATTGATTTTGTTCAAATTGCAACATATTCTGGCTGACTGCTGGTCTTAACCACCACCACCATCTTCTTCTTCCCTGCCACATCTCCTCAGTCTGCAGCCTTTTTGGGCATTTTGCACTTCTCTCACACTATTGGTATCTCACCTGGGAACTAAGACAAT